CAGGCCAAATGGGTCGGACTAACTCGTTTTGACAGCTCTACCTATACATAGTTGTACTATTCTTAATAGTGAAACTGAACTTTCTTAGTATAAGTAACAAAACTCAAAAAATCAGAGAAGGGATTGATATCTCATTTTGTTGTGATTGAGCTGACACATTGAGTGTGAAAACGATTGGATTGGTTCAATAGGATGGAGTCACTTACACTACTCATGTTGTTAGGAGATTTCTGTAGGTGAATGGGCGACGACACATTATTTGAGGTGTATGCATATGATGTATGTTGTGGTGTGTTCATATGTATTGTTGGATGTCTTATTTGACATGGTTTGGTTGAGATATATGTTAGCTTTGGAATGTTTAGCTTTCATATATGTTTTTGGTATGATGTATGTTATTGAATTATTTTTTATACTTACATGTTTTTCAAACTCTAACTCACCATTTTGTTTCTATATTGGTTTGCACTATGATGATTACACTTTATATGAGAACATATCAGGACTAGACTTGAGGAGTTGTTACTGACAGATGGTGTGACCTTTTATTGGTGTCAATGCTACTTGATGTAATTGCTATAATTGTGCTCGATTGACACTAGGACATAAAATTATTTTGGGATTATTGTATATATGTATATAACTTATCTATATTAGTATGTGTTTTATTTTATATTCGCGTTCTATATATATATATATATATATATATATATATATATGACACATTCTCCCTTTAATCTTGTACGATTTAGTAATCTAGTTTCAACCACTAATAGTGATTTTACATAGTGTTTAATTGGAGGGGAAAGCAAAAAAAAAGGGGGAGGGAGAGAGATTTAAAAAAAAAAATCTTGTTTAGTTCGATTTTTAAGAGGAAAGCAGAGGGAAACAAAACCCCCTCCTAACCCAATTTTAACTCCTCTCCAAACAGATTTAAAGCACAAATACATCATATGTATGAGTACTAAACTACTTGTTTCATTTCATTAATAAACTATTTTTTTTTGGCAAATGAAGGGAAATAAAAGAAAAATTACACATGAAAAAATTGTACTACAATAATATTAGCCAAGAGAAGTGGTTCAAATCCAAGGGAGGGAAATTCAAGTCTAGATACATAGAACTAGAGTTCAAGTCCAACCTAACTAGAAAATTTGTACACTTATTACCTTCTCTCAATATATGCTAAAGTTGCACTTATCAATTCATAACTATCAATTCTTGAATATGTCGAATGATAGTGCGAAAGCGATATTATATATCATAATTATTTTTTACAAGCTTTTATACATACGATTACAATTAAAAATAAAAATAAACTAGGTCAAACTATATTATATTACAATTTAGTAGGTTTAAATCTAACTTTCTTTAAAAATACATATGTTAAGTATGACTTATTTATCTGTTACAAACATTTTTAAAATATTTTGTTAGAATTAAAATCTTAAATACCTACTTTATAATAATTTAATACTAATAAAAATATAAAAATAATATGTTAAATTTTATAAAAATCAAGTTTAATTTATTTATGATACAAACATGTTTTTAATATCTAATATAAAATTTTTAGATGATAATTTATTTCAAAATATATTTTATAATAAAAATTCTAAATAACATGTAAATCTTCTGATATTTTCTATTTTGAATTTTTTAATCAATATATACAATCTTATTATTTTAATTTTTTTAATCAACGTATATAAAAATAAAAAGTTCAAATAGTAAACATGCATCCTACAAATGTTATTTTATCAAAAATTAATTTTTTAATATATTATATTATATATGTGAACAGTAATATGTATATATATATATATATTGTAATTAAACTTTTTAAAAATTAATTTATTATTAAAGAATATTCTTTATCGCATATAAAAATAATTTATTTCAAAAGTTTTATAGATATAAAATAAATGAATATCTCCACAAAGTTTATATTTTATATATAATAATATAAACATATATATCTATTTTATTATAATATAATTTTTATTTTTCAAGATATATATTTTTTTTTTGATAAAAAATATATGTATGTCTCAAATGGTAGTGGGGTACTATGATCCAAGTAGATCCGTCCATATATATATATATATATCAATTGATATATGTTAATTATAATCTTGTTTCATGTATTATTGAATTTGATAGTGAGTTCAAATTCATATAAATGACACCATGAAACTTGTCCTATCTTATTTCACACTCACTCCTAATGCATGGAAGAATCAAAGAATCAAAGGTGTTTTTATTTTTTTAATCCAAATTATCAGTCTCGCACCCCCTTTCACCCAACATAATATTTGAACGTGAGATGCACTAAAATAATCAATCTTTCGTCTTACTAGAGAACCAAATATGGGAAAGGTGCTTCTTGTGTCTTTTTTCTTTTCCTTTACATTTTTTCTATTTTCATTCATACCAATTACAATGTAATATGGTCCTGTATAGGCAGGCAAAATGCATTTTCTTGATTTAAATGCTGTATTCCATTAAAGATGAAACTCGTTTCCTCAATGATCATCCAACTATAGCAGCTGTCATTTTCCTTCTTTAATTTCGCCTTTCTAAATCTTATTTTAGTAATGTCAATGTTTCTTAAAGAATTGATAGTGAGCATCTTTAATTAGCTGGCTTTGTATTGCAACAGTGCCTTGGGTTGCGTTTGATGCACGTTCTATTTACGGTACAAAAGATCCAAATCTGAAACATTATTTTGTGTTTAATGGAGCACCCAAATCTTTGTTAGCAATAAAATGACCGCTGCAAACTCAATTGAGTTTCACTTGATTTTTTCTTTTTCTTGGAAATATCTCAGAATAATACAAGATATAATTAATAGATAACTTCTTAAACATTAGATCAACGTTTGAAAAATATATTTGTTACAAAAACATGATTCCTTAAATAAATTTTAGTATTTCAAGAGTTAATCTTAAGTTTGCCTTATGGTATAGTATTGAAAAAATTTCAGAACATTTCAATTTTCTTTTTTTGTCTGGGACCCATATTTTTGTCCTGCATTTGAAGTTGATGGCATGCTTTCTTTCTTTTATTTTTTTAAGTAATTCGTGGTGAGTAAGCATTAAGCAAGTGAACCAGGCATATCACATGACAAATCTGATTTATTTATTTTTTAAATTTTAGGTTCTTCGGTTTGTAAATATATATCCATATTGCTTGATTTAAAAAAATGTTGCTAGGAACTTACATTGCAATGGCCGCCGCATTCTTATTGCGGTAGCTGCAGCAACTGTATTGGTGATTATACATTGCATTTGATGCAGTTAGCCCCAAACGTGAACCACAATTTGAAACCTTGATTGCCCTTGTACATGCCTAGATCCTTAAGAAACCATATCCATGTACAAAACTGAAGGATTATATTGTTGGGAGCCACTATAATGCACATTCTAAAGAGCCATAAATGATTACCCATGTACACACAAGAAGAAGCTTGTGACACAATTTCATTTCTAATTAAAATGGAGTGCACGTGAAGTGTGAACCCTCTTTTTCATGACTAGAAAAGTGGGTTTGAGATCATTTCCTGTTCCTAAATAATGGGATATGATTCCTTTCCACAGAGATACATTTTTTTAACTAATATATCCAATAATGATGTGTGGTTAGATTACATGATATAATTTATCATTCTTCTCTACAATAGTCTCGTTTTACTATTTAAGAACAAAAGAAGATACCAATCGCTAAATTGTCAACTTAGATCTAGCATATTAATCAATAATTATAGCTCGTTAATATCTAACCAAGGTGAAAAACTTCTCTAGAGACCTTGGTCCTGTAAGCAAAATGTTAAATGTCAAAGTGATAGTAATCTCTATCCCTTCCTCATTCCCAAAGCAACCATAACTTGAGCTGAACCTTTCGGATGAATTATATATCCACGAATGAATTTCCATAATATATTGATTAGTCAAGATCAAGTCAAAATGAGTATTTGTTGTGTTAGTTTTAGGTATCAATGTAAATATCGACGTATAAGTTACGTTGTTCAACCTTTGGAACCATGTTAACCTCGGTCCCATTGGTTCATGGGCTGATTGCTCATAAATATCAAAGTATCTATACTTGATCACATGATGCAGTTAAAGAGGAACTTCGAGCGAACATGCAAAGAAAAAAGGTTAATTAAAGAGGCATTTGACAAATTAGACAGTACTTCCTTCTTTGTACATACAGCACAATGAGAAAATTTTCTCAACTAAAGCAAAAGACACAATCATATAAATGACCCACAGGCATTGAACACCGAGCAAGTAGCAATGCATCGTAGGTTAAAAGTTACCATCCAATATTCATGGGGGATTTGATCAAGGAACGTAACCCAACTCACCCAACTCAAATTAATTATCATAAAACTTGCTCAAACTGGCAAAGCAAAAATAAATAAAATAAGGGACTTGTTCCTTAAGATATCAGCAAGCACTTGATTCTCTTACCAATTTCAGAACAATTTCAACTTAGAAGCGAACGTTAAGCAATCATGCTCATCTTTTTTTGCCCCCACACCCCCACACTGTTGTTCCTGCCTTCCCAAGCAAAACCCAAGTGGCTACTAGCCTACTACAGTACTACTGCTACCTCTCCATTGACACACACACACCACCTTTCAATGTCCAATCCCATACACTAACAGCTAAGTGTTGTTTTTTATTTTATTTTCTTATATATATATATATATATATATATAATAAATCACAGTTATACTTCACAAAAAATAATCATATTTAAATCGGATACAATTGATATGAGCAAACTTTTCTTTCGAAATATTTAACATAAATATATATCCAAAATTCAAATTCGAGATAAAACTTTTCTTCTGAGATATTTAACCCAGATATATTCATAATTCAAATTAGAGACTACTAATAAAGGGAAAACAACCTCTTTCCCATTAATCCGCATGGTCATCAATTCCAAAAGCTAAGCTTTGCTAATTGCTAACTAAACATTCATTCCATTCCACCTAATTTCAACTTGATCGCTATGAATCCTCAATAAATTCCACTCCTTCCCTCACTCTCCCACACCAAGGACCACTCTTCCATTCACATTCTATACACTAATTCACAAAACACAGAAGATGGTAATGATGAAGAACCACCCTCTCTTCTCTCTCTCACTTCTAATGCTTTTTGTTCTTTTCTATTCCACCACCACTTCAGCTCAATCCCCAGCACCATCACCCTCCTCAGCCCCCACAGACATCATCAGAATCCTCAAAAAAGCAGGAGGATTCACCACCCTAATCCGTCTCCTCACCACAACACAAGTCTCAACCCAAATCAACGCCCAACTCCTCAACTCAAACAACGGGTTAACAGTGTTTGCACCAAACGACAACGCCTTCCAAAGCCTCAAATCCGGTTTCCTCAACTCCCTCAATGACCAACAAAAAAACGAGCTCATCCAATTCCACGTGCTTCCCACGTTTGTTTCCATTTCAAACTTCGACACTCTTAGCAACCCCGTGAGAACACAAGCTGGTGATGACCCTGATAGGTTGGCACTGAACATAACAAGTTCGGGAAACCAAGTGAACATGACAACGGGTGTTGTTAACGCCACTGTTGGTGGCAGTGTTTACTCTGATCACCAGCTTGCGATTTATCAAGTGGATAAGGTTCTTCTTCCAAGGGATTTCTTTGTTCCTAAGCCTCCACCACCTGCTCCTGCTCCTGCAAAGGCTAAGGCTTCTTCTGCCAAGAAATCTTCCGACGGTCCTGCTTCTGCTGCGGATAATGACTCTTCTGCTATCAGTTTGAACCTGAAGAATGCGATGTGGGTGTCAGTGTCACTTGCAGTGGCTATTGGGACAGTGTTTTCGTTGGGACAGTGACGGCTTCAACGACTTATTACGAACTTGATCAGTGCATGAAGTATGTATGATACGTACTTGGGGTCCAATGTTGTGTTGCTTTGTTAATTTCTACCTGGTTTGTTGGGATTGGTTGGATCAAAGGGGGATCGTGAACTTTTTGTAGCGCTTTTCAATGATTTTTTTTTCTCTCTCTTTCTTTTCATTAATTAATTCGGTCTGTGGTGAAACTGTATGTGATGTGTATTCGATTTTGAAGGATTCTCTCTTTCTTTACTCGTTGCATTGATCTTATGTTATATTGAGAATCTATCTATAGGGAACATTTATGCTCCAAGTGAATGGGGTTCAAGATCTCCAGAATTTAATTAATTAATCTTTCTCATAAGGCTGAGACAAAGTGAAAATGGATAAGTACTCGCACAACACACTTCGATGCTCAAGTTAATATAAAAATTTATTAGAATAATAATGCATATTAAATGCTTACTTGATATTCAATGACATTGATTTATTTATAGGGTCAGAAATGCGTTGGATTCTTTGATAAGAAGTTGAAGATCTCTACAGATAAAAAAATAAAATAAAATAAAATAAACTGAAGGCCTTTTGAGTGCAAAATAAAATAAACTGAAGGCCTTTTGAGTGCAATGATAGGCCTTGTTATGGTAATAAAATAAGTTTACTCCAAGTCAAAGGTGTGGTATACTATTAATAAGTATATATTGTGCATCAAGCATTAACTTCAATCAACACCTATAATTTGAAGCTAAGGAATTTTGGAGGGACATAACCTGTTATGTCAGTTGAATCGTAATTAGGCCCAATCAAGAACATATCTAATTAAGTTAACATCTACTAAAGTCAAAATTTAATCCAATCAAAATCTAATAATATATGAAATAAAATTGAAGTGATCTTATTATTAACATAAATAATATATAAATCAACTAAGCTTTTTTCTCAATAATTGTAAAACCTATCTTAGGACATAGGATTAAGACAGTATTTCTAGGATTGATTTTTGATGTGTTAAAATAATATTTGACTAACATAAGTCACACTTTATTAGAGTAAAAATGAGAATATAGATGAAGAAGATGGTCGATCGGACTACTCACCCTAAGATGAGAATAAAACTAGAGCACCAAGCTTGATTAGCCTTCAAGGAACATAACTAGTGACATAAGATAATAATATTTATGCTAACTAGGAGTGACAAAAGAATCTATTTATTCATCATTTATCATATCCATCCATAAGTAAATCTATGCGATCTATTTATTAAAATAAAAATAAAAATAGATTAGATTCAATCTATCTATTTAATTTTATGGATGGTTAACGATCCATTCACTAATTTTTTAAAGCTCATTGGATTATAATATAAAATATTACTGGATCGAGATTTTAAAAAATTATTTTGACATAAAAATAGTCTTTTAAATTTTAAAAGACTATATAATAATGTAATAATTTATGAAGAAAAAAAAGAAATAAAATATTTTAAGAATAATTTATTTGTTTTTTAAAACATTATTTTCATGAATGGATATATCCATTCATCAAAAAATTATTAATAAATAAATTAGATGATTTTTTTTACTTAATTTAAATGATTTAGGTGGGTTGAACTTTTATATAAAATTTTAATAAATTTAAATAAATTAATAAATTATTTTTATCTAATTTATTATGATTTATTTAAAAATTTATTTGATCATCCATTTCCCACTCTAATCTCAGCACAACACCCATAATCTCTTTCTTGGTTGAGTTGGACGTGGGAGTTTGGACATTTGGAAGGTTTCAAGCTTAGAGCGGCTGAAGTCCAATATAAGGCTCATGATATATACATCTTCTTTTTTTAAGTACATCTCTTTTATATTTTTTTAAAAATTATAAAATATTGTAATTTTTTTTTAAATCTTCTATTTTTACACTTTTAATTTTTAATTTGCTACTTTCTTTTTCTTTTCTATACATTTTTTTTTTAGTTTTCACATGCTACCAGAATAGGTAGAATGAAAGAAAGATAAAGGGGTGTATATAAAAATTGAAAAGAAGAGGGAAAATGTGTGGAAAAAAAATATTAAATTAAATATTGTGGATGTAAAATTAAAAAATTTAAAATTTAAAATTTAAAATTTAAAAATTAAAAATATTTTAAAATTTTAATTTTTTTTAAAAAAAAGGTGTATTTATAAAAAAAAAAAAAAGAAGTGTATATATCATGCACCCCAATATATAGTTCAAGAGACTATTGAAGTTGTGTGAAGCGAGTGAATTCCAATATAGAGGCCCACTTTTGTTGTTGGAATAATCATGCCTAATTTTAGTCTTATGACATATGCACCCCCTTTATTTATAAGCACCACTCTTTTTATTTTATTTTTTAAAATCTGAATTTTTTTAAATATTTTTAATTTTTTATTCTCTATATATATATATTTTTTTTTTTAATTTTACGTGTCTAATATTCAATTTAACTATCATGCCTAGTTTTAGTCTTATAATATATGCACCTCTTTTATTTATAAGCACCACTTTTTTTATTTTTTTAAAATAAATTTATAAAATATCTTTAATTTTTTAATTTTATATCCCTAATGTTGAATTTAACACTTTTTTTTTACACACCTCTTAATATCATTTTAGTTTTCAAATGC